GTAAGTGAGCTCATTAGAAAGGTCAGTGCTCTCAGCGGCAGAGTAGCTTGGCTGCCTGGTTTGTCTGCGAGCTCAGGAAAAAATCCTACAGGAACTTTTCAAAGATGGAAACAAACTACCCACTTTCTGGCACATATTAGGCAAGAGGCCGGCAAATTTTGCACTGACCCTGGCGTAAAAATGTTGAAGTAGATTCAATTTAGTCAAAAAGAAAGTGGGAGCCAAACACCTCCACCGCAAGAAGCAAGCTGGAGGAGCTGCTGGGAAGTTGCTGGTTGGGAGATCCACAACGAGCACCTGCTCCCTGGAGCTTTGCCACTGCATCACTGCAGCAAGTCATCCTCATTGCTCTGGATTCTTTGTAATGGTCTGGTACTTCTGCCCTGTCAATGCTCTGGGTTTTTGCTTTTATTTCCCGCTCTGGTCCTCTAGAAACAGACGCTGACCAGTGGGAACGCGCCTGCGACACGCTGCTCATGTGCATCGTCACTGTCCTGAACCACGGCCTGAGGAACGGAGGGGGTGTGGGTGACATTCTGCGGAAGCCGTCGAAGGATGTGAGTTTGGGCAGCACCTGGGACCCCTTTCTTCTGCTAAGTCCCGCTGCCTTTACCGCTGTGCAGCTGCCCTCCCTCCCTGGGAACTGTGACACTTCCAGCTCTATCCCACGGTGGCCTCCAGTGCTTTCCCCCCTCTCTTCCCCTACCACATCCCTGTTGTTCCTCCACACCTGGTACCCTCAGCCCATGGCCTGTGTAACGAGGTAGCACGGTTGGAGTGGCTAGAGGAGAGGTGTGCAAGAGACACATTTTTCCCTTTTGTCCCATTACAGGAGTCCTTATTTCCTGCTCGAGTTGTCTACGACCTCCTCTTCTTCTTTATTGTCATTATTATCGTCCTGAACCTCATCTTTGGGGTCATTATTGACACTTTTGCTGATCTGAGGAGCGAGAAGCAAAAGAAGGAGGAGATACTGAAGACCACCTGTTTCATATGTGGTGAGTGCTGGGACCTCCATCTGTAGGAATCGCCCCAAAGCTCTTCCTCTCTTCTAAGCGAGAGGGAAGTAAAGAAGTTTCAGGTGGTTGCTGTGAACCAAATGAAAACCAGAAAAACAAATCTGTTCAGCGATGGGTCACTGCGGTGTGAGGAGGCTTAGACAAGGACACAAACTGAGAGGGGAAATTATCTGTATTCTTCCTCGCCTTCTGTTAATGAGGTGTTAAACTAAACGCCACATTGTGGAGTTCTTGTTGCTGCGCATCCATTGCTCCTGAGACCATCACTTAGCTAGTGGAAAAAAAAAAAGCACCACATTACTAAGGAAATAAAATACAGAAAATGTTCTGGAATGCTTTCAGCCATAGGAAGGCATCCA